ACCACCTGCGGTTTCTTATCTCCATCTGAACGCACTTCTTGCTTGAAATGTCATGCCACTGCCACGTTCCCGCCCAGCACTGCCGTACTGCCGTATTGCCGTATTGCCCGCTGACAGTTGATAAGGTATATGTAGATATAGAAACAGCGGCCATAGCAGAGAGGAAAAGAATGTGAATGTGTTTTTGTGAGCCTCGCCGCTGGCGACTGTCAAAAGCTTCACACATTTTTATGCAATGTTCCACTGCTCTCCACTTCGCGCCCCTCCGCACCGCTCCGCTCCGCTCCGTTCGAGTCTGCAGCTCTGCAATCTCGAGAGCAATCGCTTTGATGTGAATCTGCACGCTGCGGGGCATTCACCGCTCGGTTCTGATTATGTGACAGTTATTCCTGGATGGGCCCGACCCGGGCCTGGTTTGGTTTGGTCTGGTCTGGTCTGGTCTCGCCCAACCCGGCCCAGCCCGGCCGGTAGCACATCTGTCCTGTGCTGTGCTGTGCTGGGCTGTACTGTGCATTATGCAGACATATGTTATATTAAAAGTTGCGTGTGGCAACTGCTGCTGCTTCTTCTGCTTCTGCTTCTGCCTCTGTTTCTGCTTCTGCCTCTGCTGTGCTTCTCGTACCTTGCCAGTACTGTCAAGTGCAGCGTCTGCTCGGAAATGGCTTTTGGGGGCATGCCTTTTGGGGCAGGCCTTCCCAGGTCCTGTCAGCGACAGTGGGCGTTGAACAGCTCAGCTCAGCTCAGCTCACGGCTGACTTGTGATGTAATAATGCTTTTAAATTGAACACCGAAAATAACCGATATGCGTATATAGTACATATATTATAGGCCCTGCTTGAATGGATCTTATCTTAGCTACAAAAACTGAAAAGTTCGGAACAACTTTTCTCTGAAGCAAGCTCTTATTAATAATCGAGTACAGACTATGATTGTCAACCCTAAGTTGGAGCTAGACTCCGTTTTAGTTTTTGTGGTTGAGACTTTTTAATTATTTAATTAGCTGGACATTGGCTGAGATGACTTTCTCTCAGGCTTCTTAACCTATGGCTGCTGTCTCCAGTTCCTACAAAATTCCAGTGGTGGCAGCTATCAGTCAGACAAGGTTTTAAGGCTTTTCCAGCATTATTCCAGTAGTTCCACCGCAGCCTGTTAAGAAATTTGTTCTAAATTGTGAAAATCGTTGAATGCCAAGATGTAGCTCTATAGCTATATGTAGGTTTAATCGAAGAAATGTTAAAACCCCAATTCAAGCTCTTCGAAAAATTGCAATAAACGAAGCATGCAGTTTCTTTTGCATTCTTTTTCGGATATTGAAAAAATTACGTTTTTAATAAAAACTTTGGAGCCTCCTTTTCCCCTTTTGGAGCTCGAACTTTAACTGTGAAATGATACTTGAGTCCGGATTTCAGTTTCCTTGTTGCTCGGCTTTGAACACCAATCAGTCATATAAAGATTCTACTACTTAGACACTGACTTTTTTGTTGAAGCTTTAAATCTAACTCGCTATTTTGCTAATTATTTTGAAATTTCACCACACGGCTTAATCTCTGATCAGAATGTTGTGAGTTAGCAGATACAGTAGTTCTTGGTCAGTCGCATTAGCGAAGACAGTTTCATATCCAGTTGATGTTTAGTATAAGCTACTAAGATTGTGTCTTACTACCGAAGCTGAGTGGCCGATGCTGCCAAGAATTGAACGCACACTCCTCAACACTTTTGCGTGAGGCTGCGAAGTCGACAAAGCAGGCATTGCTCCTTTTGCCATAATAGAGGAACATCGCAAGTTAGCTTCTTTGAAATGCCGCGTTTCTTCGACGAGCAAAGGGACGTGGAAGACTACGACCTAAAACACACCTACGAACTTATAGTCTTCTGGGTGATCATCTTCACGATGGGCAGCTACGGGGTGGCCTATCTGCTTCAGAAACTGCGTCGGAGGGCTTAGAGTTGCTGTTCTCTTGACCAGCTATCAATCACTCAAGCAGTCAATCAGTCAGTACAGTGCAGCATTTCGTCGTCAACAACTGGCCTTCCGTCATCAGCTCGGATTAATAAAGCACTTAATGCCGAAAATATGAAATTCTGCGAAACGCAACAAAAATAAAACTAAACATGCATTATGTTTATCGAAGAACTAGCTCTACAAGCATATGCATATAAGTATGTATGTATGTATGTATGTATGTACTTATGTGTATACAAGTATATGCGTCCGTTTATTTACGAATATTTCTTGCAGCCACAGCAAAAAGATTCACATCGAATCATAACAAAGGCAGCGCAGAAGAAGGAAAGAGAAACAAAACTACTCGTACGACGACGCATTGGCATTTTATAATAAAATGCGTCATTCGCCTGAATTAATTGCCATTCAAATCAAATTAGACGCAAATAGCAAAACAAAAAGAGAGACAGAGAGAGACAGAGAGAGAGAGAGAGAGAGAGAGAGAGAAGCAGAATGAAAAGAGGAAAAAACAATCCGAACTAAAACTTGCCGCCACATACGAGTTCGAGTTCATAAACTGCACTCAAGTGAATCACGGAATTGAATTGAATGCGAAAGACGACGACGACGACGACTGCGACGACTGATCAGTCAAAAAATAGTGCACAAGGTCAATTAGTTGAAATACCAGAAAAATATAACAATTAAATATTTGTTTTATTCATTTGCACGGTGTTTTTAGCAGCGATCCGATAGTGGTTCTCTGTTGCAGTTGCCGTTTCAGCTTCACGTTTCATGATTTCCAACTACAAGTATTGCGTAATATATGTATGTATGTACATTTGAACATATGTACATATGTATGTATGCATGATTTCTCGGCTTTGTTCAGATCGAGACCCCCTCCCTGCTCGCCTCGCATCGCTCGCGGAAAACTGCGTTTCCAGTTGGGTTCGTCAATCCTCCCTAGTCTCGATTATAAAGCTGCTGGGCTCGCTTGCAAGCTCTTGCTTTGTGTGCGAGTCTTCCAGGAACCAGGAACTGCCATTGTATTGCCTTCGGAGTGTGTGTATGTGTGTGTGTGTGTGTGTGAAGTGTGTGAGTCTTTGAATGGAAAGGATTTACGCGTTGTTTTCTTGTATGCCTCACACATGGGCCTTTGTTGTTGCGCTCTGGTCTGCCACCAAAACAGATACCTTACGAGATACCTACTTCAGCTATTCGCCTTGGAAGCTCATTCAGGTGCCATAGCTGCTGCCTGTGCCTTCACCATCATCGTCATCATCATTGTCAACGTCATCATCGTGATCATTTGTAGTTTGTTGTCTTCCAAGATAAGATACAGCGGGGTTGGGCCAAGGAACCAATATTATGTTTGCTCTATTTTTTGCTTGTTTTTTTTTTTCAAGGCCTTTTGCTGTTATTGTTGTGTAATTGAAATGCAGCTGCGTAAAAGTTTCCAAAAAAAAACAAGGATGTGAAAAGTACAGTTGAACGCAGAGAGCTTTACGCGTGCCATGCAATATTTTTATAGAAATTCTTTATATTGCAGTATTTTTGTAGTTAGGTGCCAAGAGAGAGTACGCACATAAGCAAGTACTTTTCCTAGATCCATCTCTGAGTTAGATGAGTTCAAGCAAGTTTCCAGGGAATCTAGAATAGAGAATCACTTCGAAGAAGGGAGGAAGTGGTCTCTTAAAAGCTAAATCATTGCTTATCACAAATCAATAACTGTTTGGTACAATAGCAATAGACTAGCAGAACTCAGAGGCGTGTTTCCATCTCCAAATTCAAGCTCATAAGCTCAGTTTTCAAGACTCAATAGTAGATTCGGAAGTATCTTACTTTACTTCAAGTTGAATTGCTTATTCTAGAACTAACTACATACATACTAACTAAAAAACCTGGCTTCCCCGACTGGGCCATCAAATGCAACTGCTACGCAGGTCGGTACAGGCCGGCGAATCGCAGCGTTCAGATACACATACTGCATGAGAGTTCAGAGGAATTTCTTAATAGCTTTTTACCGATATCTTTTTGAAGGGAAACCGTTCATTTTAAAGCTCCCGCTCCCGCTCCCTCTCTGGCTCAGGCCCAGGCTCCGTCCCTGACCGTCTGTTGCGCCTGCGGCAGGCCAATGCGATTCGACCAGGCTTCCACATAACAAAAAAAAAAAAGAAAGAAAAAACACAAGGCTAAGCTGAACGGTTGGTTGTGGACGTGGATGGTCAGAAGTTGCGCGGCCGCATTTTTCTAACGATTAAACAAATTCGAGGAAAAAAAACGCATCTCATGCAACTCCGCGCTAAGCGTCACCTGCAATTTCTTGGAATTGGCCGACATCAAGGCTAAGGCTCGGGAGAAGTGCAAAGCTCCAGACCAATCCCGAGCCCAAGTCGAAGTTGAAGTTAAAGGCAAGTCGAAGGGGATGGCAGAAGGAGGATGGAGGATGGGGGATAGCACGCAAGGAAACTGTAGACGAAGTCGAAAAGTTAGTTGCATCGTCGGCGGCATTTTTGAGAGAGTCTATTTCCAGGAATTAAATCGTATATCTTGCCATTGCTGGCTGCTGCTATAAATGCTCGATTAATTTCTAATAAATTTGCGGTCGCTGCTGCTGCTCTCCCAAGAATGTGTGTATAGTGTGTTTGTTGGTGTTGGCTTGTTGGTCAAAAGGGGATTGGGACTGGCATGGGCATTGGCATTGGCTGATTTGGCCAACGGAAATGCTGCAGTCGGTGCCAGAGGCCAGAGATAGAATTACTGACACAAATGCATAGGCGGCTGGCCAATACCCGCAGTAGTGGATGTGTGGAAAGGGGGCTATGATTTGGATTTTGGACTTTGTTTTTCTGCCTCTGGTCGCGTCACTTTGAAATTTGAAGCTGTGCTTAGTGAAACAGAGGCAAGGAGTTTTCTTAGAAATTGAGTCGAGTGCTGGGCTCCTCGTTGCACTTGCACAAGAGGCAGCAGCAAAGCAGGCATTGGATTTGCCTTTTGTAAAATGTCATCTGGCCGAACTAATCACCAAATTATTTTGTCATTCTCGTTGCAGCATTTGTCGTGTTCACAACTTCAGCAGCCGAAGCAGAAGCTGAATCGGAAGTCAGGTCCAAGGACGAAGTCACAGGCACTACCAACGCAGATTTTGAAAAAACGATAAAACCATTCGAGTATCGCGAGTGCTTGAGCATCGTTGGGGCCTGAATTAGCCCTCGGCGAACGCGTGTGAGCAGGAGTAACGGAATAATAATTATTATATTCATGCAAATAGAGTCGAGACACAAATTCCAAAAACAATTGCAAAATTCCCTTTGGCAAAGAATTTGGGGCCGAGCTGCTTTTATGCAAGCGCAGCTAAATTCAACGAAATTCCATTTTGGCAAAATAAATTACAAAAATAAATTCACCAACAACAACAACAACAACAACAAAACGTTACCAATACGAATTGCAACACAACAACAAGTGTTGCCACTCTCAACCACAACTAAAAGGATACATCGCAGGGCATTATCCTTATCGCTACTGCATTATTCGTTTTCGCGAGCAGCTCTGGCGAACACAAATCGCGCGCAACTCCATTATCTTTTGACCTGATACTGATACGGATACCGATCGATTTCACAAAATGGATCCGCAACAGCAGTTTTGCCTCAAGTGGAACAGTTACTCGTCGAACCTGGCGATCACATTCTCCAGTCTATTCAAATCGGATCTACTGGCCGATGTCACACTATCCTGCGATGGTAAGTACAGAACACATTTCCACCTTCAATGTCAAACCTCAAATCTGATGGCCCATAATTTCGCGTGTGCTGCAAAATGTTGCATGACGTTTGAGGCAAAGTGCACTGCTAGAGTGCTTCCAACAATCTAAAACACTTACCCGTTTCCATACGTTCCAATAGCAATTATGCGCAAAGTGGAAATGGAACACAGTGACAACTAACCTAACGCTACTTTTTCTTCACAATGCACTGAACTGGCTACAGAATCTTCTTCTTAAATCGTTCCAAATAGCTCCACAACTTAAAGTATAGAAGAATAAATAAGTTCAACAAAGAGTAGAGATAACTTGCGGAAAAACACACATTTATATTTCAGTTTTATTTAAATATTCCTTCTCAATGCTTGCTTTCTGATTCCAACAAAAAACAATTCTAGCAAGAACTAGTAAGCCGAAAGGAACGAGTTTCTTCTAGTCCTTATAAGCGCAAGCCCTTTAACAAGAAAAGTTTAAATGCTACTAAGTTCTGCTAAAATCGAAAGCTATTTCAAATCTGATAGCAGGACTATCTTCTAATGAAGAAAGAGATAACAAATCCAGTTCATTTTAATTAGAGAAATTATCATTATTGAACTTTGTAACTCTTTTGGGGCAGAAATGTAAAATTCCTAAAAACTACAAGTCTATAAAAGAGCGGAAAAATGTTAAATATTTTGTTTAGCACTGGAATGCTCTATAAAGGACAAGCAATGATTAGCTGCGACACCTACATTGGGCCTAAATGGAATGTCTAGGATGTCTTGTCCTTCGTGACGTGCCATCGGCATATATATTTTGAAGTAAATCAATAAATCGACTTGTGTTTATGTAATAAGCCAATGGAAGCGGCAAACTGACTGAATGACTGACTGATAGACAGTCAGAAGGGCAATTTAGCCACAAAGCAAGATAAACAAACAAACAGACAAAGAAACAAACATAAATTTCCTCTTTTCGGCGGCTCTTGCTAATAAGCCAGAATAACACATAAAAGACGAGGCAGGATTTTCCAGCCCGGCATTGATTTTCCTTTGGGCTGCTGCTGGCTTTAACGCTGGTCTGCCCGCATCTTCGAAGGCGTCTTTTTATGGTCGCGTATTCGTCGGTGTGCCTGCTGTCTATATGTACATATGTATGCATGAGTGTGTGTGTTTGTGTATGTGTGTGTGCTACTATTTCATTTACGGCTTTTACTAGAGTTTTATGGAGCTTATTAAATGAATATAAATGGGAGCGGGCGGCGCAAGGACGCGCGACGTGAGAATGCGAGCAGCATTTACGTTAGATAATATGTTTACGTATTTTATATATGTATATATACAAGTATTTATGTATGTATGTGTGTGTGTGTGTGTGTGTATACACTATTGCCCCAAAAGAAATGAAATGCGAAGCATTGACTCAGGTCAGTGACAATGACGACGCCACCGCCGCCGCCGCTTTGGGTTTTAGTGCCTTTTTTGCGGCCGGCCGAGAGATAAACGGGCCTCATTTTCATTTTTGGGCGCCGGATTGGGTGCGCGTCGTTTGCCTTTTATATACGAATAGTATGTATGTGCATATATTTTGATTTGGGTTCCAATACATCCGTCGAGTGTGTGTGTGTGTCTGTGTATGTGTATGTATGTGTCTTCTTTTGGAGCGTCTTTATGATTATTATGTATTTCATTTCATGCTCGTTTATTTATTTTCCATGTGCTTCTTTATTTATTTATTTTGTTTTTTTTTTCCGCCGGCCTAATGTGCAAATTGTTGCACGCTTTTGTTTACACTTAGGTCGCTCTTTGATGTCCTTAAATTAGGTTATAGGCACAGCACAAAAGAGCAGTTTGCGGAGTCCTTAAAGCATTTGAAGCGCTCCATGGAGTAATCTTAAAGCGTTGCGCATACGCCGCGTGTGCCGCCCCTTCCCAGCGATGTCTGCACACGCATAGATATGCGTCGGGATATATTTGCAGTTATTGAAAAGGCTGCTGGCCCTGCCAGTTCAGCAGCAGGAACAGCAGCAGGCGAGCGAGCACCAGAGGATGGGGAACTCGTCTATTTGTTGACGTTGACGTGCATACTATATTTTGGAGAGTCTGTGCGCTTAGCAGCAGGGTCGTTGGGTGTTTGGATTATGAAAGGGAACGCCAAAGCCGCAGTCTGTCAGACAGACACAAAATCCTGGCTGGGCAGAAGCTTAGACCCTTTGCTGCTGCTGCTGCTGCTGTTTGTTGTTCTCATCATCCATATGATCGAAGAGGTACTACTTTTGATTAAAATTTGGAAATGCTGACGCCACCCCACCCCTCCCCCCGCACGCTGCTCGACTGTTTGTTATTTTGGGTGCTGTGCTGCTTTTAATTGTGGTTTTTAATACTTTTGCCATATGTGTATGTTGCATGTTGTTTGATTTCGTTTCGTTTCGTTTCGTGTCCATTTCGAAATGAAGCATTAAATATTTTTTGGGTGCCTCGGCCAGCAGCACTCCAGCGACAGTGAATGTTGTCAGAAAACAAAGCAAATAGCGTATGTTCTTGATTGTTTTTAATATTCATATGTGTGTGCTTTTATTTTTTTTATTTCTTATTCGACTATTGTTGTTGATGGTAGAAGTTCTGCCTTTGATTTGGATTTTTCCTTTTTTCTAGCACTTGAGAAATGAGCATTTTTGCAAAATGAACATTTTTCTGGCCTTGGGCGTCAGTTTATTTTATTTTTTCATGTGTAAGGGGCTGGCTGGGCTGATGAAGCGACAGGACATTAGCAAAAAAAAGAATAAGGGGTGTATGATTCGAATGAGAATGTATGAGTTCCTTCTAAAAATTCCTTTAATTTTTTTGAATACAATCAATTGGACAGCTATTGGAAAAATTTCGACTGCAATCAGAACTAACGCCTTTCTATAAACACCAAATCTTTTAAATGAATCTGTAAGCCGTATCTCCTAAGAAGATTAGTCGTAGCAGAATTTGTCCAAAATATGTCTATTTAAATTAAGTAGAGGTAGACAACTGGATATAAATGGCGTGAACGAAATTTTGTTTATGGACATTATCCAAAAGCTTTTTAAAGTGGTCCTTATATAATTGTATTTTTTTTATAAAATTTTAAATCTGTAGATTAGCTTTTGGCGTTTCCCAATCCCCAATCTTTTAAGTTTCTAAATTACAGATCCTATAGTATTATCTAACTCCATTTAATACGAGACGCCCTAATGAGTCACTTTTCCATTTTTCCATAAAAGAATTGTTTATGTTAGATAAAGTGTAACACGTGCCCTAGAATGCCAACAGACGACAAAAATGAGTCACAAATTATTTGGGAATTCGATTAGATTCGTCCAAAATAGAACTATGTTGGGGAAAAGCACTTTTGTGCAGTAAATCTCCAGAATATTAAAGTGCACACTATGAAGTGCGTTCACGGTAGAATCAGAACTGGTATATTCTATGAGCAAAAAACCAAAAAAAAAATGTTTTCGCGTTGGAAAGAATAACGAAGTAGCGAAGCAAACAAAAATGCAGAAGAACGTAAACAAGCCAACAACAATTTTTTATAATTCATTCTGTTTGTTTATCAGCTATAAGCAGTCGCCCAGACACATATACAGATACATATGTATGTAAGTATTTGCGCATATACTTGTACATACATACATCTTTATATACTTAGCTGTATATTAAAATGGTTTGCCGTTTTCTTTGTATCGCGATTGTGACCTAATTTTTGTTGTATCAAGTGTTAGGAAATCACACTCTCCTATCAAGGCGAAAATAAGTAATAAATGGATCGACATGGAAGGGAAGGCGCGTGTTGTGTGCGCCAAACTGAAATAAGTACAAATATCTTGATAAAGGCCATACCTGCTGATACTTGTGGTTCTGCTTGGAATGCAGTTGCCGCCTGGCTCGACTATTCATAGTGATACGCGTATGTGGCATACCACACATTACATTTATTCTCGCGCATTGCGTATACGCCGCATTGCCGCCCTATTATTTCCTCTTTTTCATATTTCGTCTGTCATGTTTCTGAGGCTTTATGCGCTTATTTTGATTTTTGCTTCTCTGTTGTACTTGTTGTTATTGTTATCATTCCAGCGACACTTCCGCACTTGCTGCTGTTGTGATTTTGCGCTTTTTTATTATTATTATGATTTTTTTGATTGACATTAGAGGCGCGTGCATTGCGGCGACTGCAACCTTGAGTTCTATCAGAGCGCCACTCTGATTATACACACACACACACGCACACAGAATCACACACACACACACACACACACACACACACACACACACATACATACAGCATACGCAAGAGCGTTGTTATCGACATTTTTGTGAATTAAAGCCCGCACGACGTGCACTCGAACATAACACAAGACAGATTAACAAAAAAAAAATACAGTCATTCCTCTGATTAAACAACTGCCATTAAAATAGCCTGCTCAAGCCCTTTGCATCCCCATCTAATATATTTATATATTTTTCTTGTTATTAAAGCAGACAACAGACTGAAAGAGAGAGAGAGAGGGAGAGAGGGAGAGAGAGAAAGAATAACAGATATTTTAAACTTGTTTCCAATTCGTTCGATATTAAATTAAACAGAATTAAACAGAAATGCGAAGCTAATTGAAACATTAGTTATGGTCTTTTAACAACCTACTTCCCACCTAATTGGACGTTGCTTAAAAGGCGTGTTAGCAAGCGATTTAAATGTACAAATCATGTCCCTTTCGTCTTTAGAATTCTGTCATCTGGCCATTACTTGATGGGGATGGTGTAGAATTTGGAAGAGAGGCGAGATATTTGCACCATTTCGTCAGCGAGTCATTGAAGCGCAGCTCCACTGTAATTTATTCACATAAACAAACTAATAATTGACACAGTTTGTGATGAAATCATGTTGATGGCGTATTTTGGCAGCCAGCCACTACTCTAATAAATAAATAATAAAAATAAAAAATAACGAAAGCGAGCACCAATTGCAGTTCTGATAAGATTAGCCGCCAAACTGGGACATGCGAGTACATACCTACATAATATGTACTATACATACATACATTCTTATGTGCACGGCAAAGAGCCACAACTCTGATTAACAAAAAATGAGACATAGGGCCAGAAGTTAAATGCACAGCTGTGGCTCTTGCTTGAATTTCTCAAGTCATGAGCAAAAACTTAAAATATATTAGCGCTGCGAGGCGTAAATAAAGTCAAGTCTATGTTGTTTGTATGCACGAGTGTGTCTATCTATCTATCTACTTGTATATACTTGTATGTGCGAGTATATAGTGTGTTGTGTATGTATGTGAGTGTGAATTTGATTCTAAATCGCGGAAGCAGCGTCTGCTGTTGTGGTTGTTGTTGTTGCTGTTGTTGTTGTTGTAGTGTATATCACTGCTGTGTGGCCGTCATTTCAATTTCATTTAAGTAATGCGCACGAAAAACACAACAAGTGCCCCATAAAGAAAAAGAAAAGTCACAAGTCACGAGTGGGGTGGGGTGGGGTGGGGAGGTGTGTCCGCCTAAAAGGAAAGGAAAATGGCAAAAGTGAAGCGTGAAAAATTGTAACAAAAATACTCAGACACAGATACAGATGCAGATGCAGACACAGACACGGACACGTAGCCCACCTCGTGCCACATAACAATGGCAGCTGTTTTATTTCCTCCTCCTGAAGCTGAAGGCGACGCGGTGGGGTGGGCGCGGAGGCAGGCAGGAGCTGCTTGTAAAGTGCGAAGTCGTCTCGCCTTAGAAGATGCGCAGCCAAGGAAAACACATAAAAATATACTTTAGGGATGTGCCTGGGTGGGCAAGAGGGAGAGGGAGAGGGCCTGGCCGAAGTGCGTCTCAAAGTTGTCGAAAAAAGGATATGCCTTTGAAATATAGTATGCGCCGCATTGGGCGCGCAGCAGTCGCCGTCGGTTCAGTGTGTCACAGGTAGCTCTACACATATACTATACTGCTTAGTACATACGTATGTATGTATATGTACTCGTATATAGTCGTATCTTTTGTAAGAAAGGAACGCGACGAAGATGAGGAAGACGAAGACGGCGACGACGACGACGACGACGACGACGACGACATTGACGTTAAATAAAGCACCCCCACACCACCCCCTCTCGCCCTCCATTCAATAAATGTTCGGCTCTTGGGGGTCCTGTGCGCCAAGGGTGGTTGGGCGAGCCGACTCTCTTGACTATAGTCAAGAGCAAGAAAATCATTTCCTTGCCGCCGCTGCTGCTGCTTCTTGCTTTAGCATTTGTGTATTGTGGGTGTATGTGTGACAAGATTTTTATGAGTTCAAGGTCTCGCAAATTTCACTTTTCGTGCGCCAACCTGTTGGCACATTTTATATTATGGTCGTCCCCAAAACGAATTAAAGCACGTCGCCCCCCACCTCAGCCATCATCTAGGAATTGAGAATTCGGAAATATGTAGTAATCGTCTATCTCTGTTTCCCTGTTTTCAGGCGCAGTATTCAAAGCACACAAACTTATTTTAGCGGCCTGCTCGAAAAAGTTTGCCGATCTGTTCGAGAACACACCTACAAATGGCCAGTGCGTCATCATACTGGAGGCTACCACGCCGGACAACATGGCCGCGCTGCTGGAGTTTATGTACAAAGGCGAGGTGCATGTATCTCAAGAGGCTCTCAATAGTTTCCTTAAGTCAGCCGAGAGTCTACAGGTGAGTACAGGCGTTCAATTGCTGCCTCAAATATGTATACTATAGTCAGCCCGACTTAGATCGAAAAAATGTCACTTCAAATTCGAAGGAAATGTTCCAAGTTTTGCGATTGTCAAATATAAATGAGTATAGATATCGTAGTTGTAGAAACAGTGTGAAACATTCGTTTCCCTTTTTCTGTTTTCCGATTATTTGGTTCAAACACCAGCATGTCTGCAATAGTCGAGAGTCTTCTACTATCAAAGCTAAATGATACATATAGTAGTATCTGAGAGGTTATCAAGACCAAAAAGATAATCTTAAAGGCTTTCTTCTACGCTTAGAAAAACACTGAAATATAGCTTACTTCCAAGAATTGCTAATCATCTTCTATACACGTAATACACGTAAGACGCGATTATTGGCACCTGTTCTTAAAATACAAACACTGTGCCAAAATAAAATACACTTGTCTCTGGTTCAAGCACCGGCAGGTATTTACAGAATAGAAATAATTACAGCTGTGAAATGTGCCACGTGCCACGTGTATAAAGTGTGATGACTGAACTGAGTAGCTGCCCCTTTACTGGCAGCTCCGAGTTGTCTGATGATTAAATACAGATAAACCTTAGGATAAACGGATCATCTTGGATCATCTTCTAGTTCTAGTTCCATAGATATTTGTCTGGCTGGAAGATCTACGAACTAGCTGCGAAAAGCTTAACTGATTAAGACTCAACTATAATCAAAAACTCGGTCGTCATTTTATAGAATTCTAGTGTTCATTACCTGATCTATATCTATTTGGCTGATTATATAGTATACGTATATTCGTATTAAAGTGCTTCATGCTAACAAAAGTCATTCTTATCGGCAGGTCAAGGGCCTATCCACAGAAACCGGTCGTCTGGCCGCCCAGCAGGCTCATCAACAGCACATGGGCGACATGTCGCCAGTGGACTCACCCACCGGCCAGCGCAGCATCCGCAACAGTCTGAGCGGGGGCGGTGTCGGCAACGGCAATGGCCTTAATTTGGCTGCCAGTGGCATGGCCGCTGTGGCCAATGCAGCTGCCAGCAGCTTAAGTGCGTTGGCGGCCAGCGCGGGCGCTCTGGATCGCTGCGGCAGTGCCGGCAGCAGTATAATCAGTGGCTCCGCTGGCGGTGGTCCATTCGGCAATGTTGCTGGAGCAGGTGGGCCATTCGGAGGCGTCTCAGGTGCCGGAGGCAATGGCGTTGGCCAGGGTCTGGGCGGAAACAATGGTCCCATTCGTTTGGGCAGCGGCGCTGGCGCCCCTCTGAACTTGGGTGGATCGACGGGCAGTCTAAAGCAGGAGTGCGATTCTCTGATGCATCCAACCAGCTCGTCCACAATGGGCTCTATGACAAACTATGTGCCGCCCATGTACCGTCCCAACGAGCCGCGCAGGGACAGACGCCCATACGCCGAACAGGAGGTGCGTGGCAGTGTCCTGCGCGACGGCTCCAAGTCGTCGGAGTGCCCGAGCCCCATTAGCAAACCACCGTACCATCGACCGTCGTCGAGCGCATCTTCGACAGCGCCCACTGAGGCAGACACAATGCACTCGGAACGCGCCTCACCACAGTCCAGGTGAGTAAGATTCCTTTGGAGAAATATGTGGTTAAGGTCTTGATGAATGGCTCAACTGCCTAAATAGAGAATGGATGGCTATTGTTATGTTTTTATGATGGCTCTTTATAGCAAACATTCTTGTGTCAGCGAAAGAAGAGACGATATAAGTTAAGGTCCTGCAAAATATATTGTAGAATAGTCCACATGGAGGGGGGTTTACTGAGAGAGACACTCTTTATCAGATCGAGTGCCTAATGCTTTGCTCTTTCAATCCACAGTCGGTATGAAAACCACAGTCCCAGCACCACCGCAGGCAATGGCAATGCGCCCAGCAGCCTGGACCGCATTGTAAAATCGGAGCGGAATAATGGCAGCGCCAACGAGGCTAACGATGATGAGCACGAACAGATGGATGAGTCCACAGATGTACGTAATCGCACAGATGAAGCGGGAAAATCCGTCCAGGTTTCTAACCATTTACCATGTTTTCTCTCCAACAGAATGGAGCCGAGGACTTGCGTGTCAAGCAGGAGAACTCAAACTATTCACCGCCACCGCCTCCACACTCAAACAGCTCGTCGGCCACAGCGAACGCACTACTGGACAACATGAAGAACCCGGATGGCACACTGACCATCGCGCCCTCGGAAATGCTCAACGTGTGGAACGCCACCAAGATGAACAACAAGAATAGCGTGAACACCGCGGACGGCAAGAAGCTCAAGTGTCTCTACTGTGACCGTCTCTACGGCTACGAGACTAATCTGCGCGCCCACATCAGGCAGCGGCATCAGGGCATCCGGGTGCCCTGCCCCTTCTGCGAGCGAACCTTCACACGCAACAACACCGTCCGCCGACACATCGCGCGGGAGCACAAGCAGGAGATCGGACTGGCGGCCGGAGCCACTATTGCGCCGGCGCATGTGGCCGCCGCCGCGGCGGCAGCAGCGGCCGCCAATCACTCACCATAGGAAGCGGCCGCAACAGCAGCGGCAGCAGTAGTCATGAGCGCGCACAAGGAGGCAGCGAAACAGCGTAAACGTAAATCATTGAAGATGGCATTGGAGAAGTGCATGCAGCGTCGGGATGCGGAGGCAGCCGCAGCGGTCGCTGGCAGCACGAGCAGCACAGGCAGCGAGGTTGGTGGCATAGCAGGGAGTGGGTCGGTGATCGCGAGCACCACACTGGCTTTAAGGCAGCAGGCGACATTTGAAGACCAGCAGCAGAAACTCCACCAGGAGGTGGCACTACAGATCAAGGCGGCAATGGCGGCAGAGCAAGAACAACTGCAGAGCCATGAGGGCAAGAGTGCTGGTGATGGCGACACCAGCATCAACGTGGCCGAGTCTTCGGCCATGGACATAACAGCGACAAGCACAACGACGTCCAATACGACGGCGACGACGGCAACAACGACCACCCTCTCCTCGGAGGGTAGCGATGTAGAGGTCAACGAGGTTAGTTCTTTGGTAGAACCACAAACAACTCGGCAGCATGACCCGCATGCTGTGGAGTTGCCAACCACGTCCGTCAAGAGTGAAGACGTCGATTTGTGCGAGTCGAAGCCGGCAAAGATGCGAAAAATTGAGGTCGATGAGCCACGGCCGATTCCCGCTTCGCCGGTACCGGCATCAGCAACAGAATCGGCAACAAATCAGACAAACGTCGAATCGGATGTTGAGCCCGAGCTGGTCGTAGTTGAGCCAAAGATTGAGCCACTATCGGACAGCGAGGACAATTCTGAAGAGATACCACGAACGCCCACACCGCCCGCCACTCCCACAATGCCAGCCAACGAAAGCCCCACTCTGACCTCAACGCCAAAGGCCATTGTGGACTAAACTGAAGACGGAGTAGATTATGAAGTAACAAAGATAGATGCTGCAAATTAGATTAAGTGATGAAAATAATGCCACAAGAAGGAACGCTGCTAGAAGATTGAAGATGAAGATGATATAATTGAAGATGATGAAGAGATGATGATTGATGATACGTTTACGCGCGCGCTTATTTCACTCGGATGGAGAGTGAATGATATTGAAGATGATGATGACTACTGTTGCAACTGTTGTTGCCCTCGGAGACCACCAAGCCCTTTAAAAGGGTGTAGCAGATCGACCAGATCTGCAATCAATGCTCAGGCATTGCACTATTAATACGGAAAAATTTATTATTAATAATGATGTAAATGAATGACAAACCCACACAGATACCAGATACATGTTATAGAGACAGATGGCAGAATGCAGTATTCGAGATCAGCTTTTTGCGAAATTATTTCAACAGATTGAATTTGATTTATGAAAGAGAACATAAAACATAATTATAAACACGCACGCGCACACACACACACAAACAATTATTAACGTTAATCCGGCTGAAAAATCGTTTTCAGGGTGCTAATTAAACAAACAAACAAACAAAGATACAAATAATCAAACAAATGAACAATTAAAATAAAGAAATGAAAATGAAAACAAAAAGTAATGAGAAAATTCGCCAACCGTCAATGCAAAAAGTTTGAACGTTTTTGATTGGTGCCAGAAAGAAAGAAGATAGCAGCAGATTTTGTTGTGTGTGTATACTTAAATACTACTATTGATAACTATTTTCTGTTACCGACCAACAATAACAACAACAAAGCAAATAACAATTGTGCAAAGTTGCCTCAAATCAAAACTGAATTTACACAAAAGCTACCAAGTAGGCGATTCAAATAGCAAATAGACAACTACAACTACTACTTACTACAATAACAACAGCAACTACAACATAAACTACAGAGCAACAATAGCAACAAAACCGCAACCACAAGTACCTGCAATAAAAAATAACAAAATAGTTTAAACAATCGATAAGATAAAGCATAACTTTTATAAACGAAACAAAACAAAACAAAATGAAACACATTGTGCGCCTGCGCAGCGCTGGTCCCAGTTGGTCGATAGATCGATCGGAAGTGACCCTCGCGTTTTTTGTAAATAATTTTATTAAATTTACTCTGCCAGTCCCCGAGAGCATTCGTCCGAGGGCGTCGGCCAACAGATAGCGCTGCGCAGCACACCTCGAGAGAAATAGAAGTAGAAGAAGGAAGAGTAATGGGTGAGAAGGACGCAGATATAATTTCACAGTTACATTTTTTATTTGATTTCTCATACATATTTAGGCCTCAAGACAAACACGCACAGCTCAGAAAGCGTTCAAAATTTGATTTTCCTTTCAGTTTCATTTTACAACGGCAGAGACAATTTATGATTTTTGACAACAAATAAAACAATTGGTAAATTGGGTGCCTATAAAAATATTAATTAATTACTACTAGTGAAATTTTATAAACGAAAGCTTATATATTTAAAAGAATGATATGAAAACAAAATAGCAAAGGCTTCTTGAGGAAGAGATAATTATTTTTAAAATTGAATTGAACGTAAATGATAACAATTTTTATAGCAAAGTTAAAACGGAGTTTTTAAAAGTGAAAAATAACTGAATAACAGAGAAAAAGTTAAACCTAAAAACTATAAGCAAAGCAAACCACTCAAAAACGTTCTCATAAAACTTTAAAGCAACAGCAACAGAAAACAGAACAACAACAAACAACAATAATTACAGCAACAATTGACAAAATTCAAAATCCAAACTTTTGGCACACCTTTGAAAATCATTTTTCAAACATAAAACGAATCTTTTGATTTCGAACCAAATGAAAAAGAACGACAAATGTCAGCAAACAATTTCAAATTCAAAATTCATTTTTGGCTCTTATACGTTTTCGGCACACACAAGCAGAAGAACATGCAAACAAAAATTATTAACGAAATGCTGTAAAAATTGAAGAAGAAGATGATGAAGATGATGAAGAAGAAAAAACAAGAAACTATTTGAAAATACTGTTGTAAGAGAGAAGAAATTGTAAACTGGCCCGCTCGCGACTCAGGCGAGTGTGTCAGTAGCAAAGGCAGCTTCGCTGCAAGTTGTAAATAGTACGAGTAAATAGCATAACGAGTATGTCATATATGTATATGCCTCAGTTATTTAAGCTCCAAAGCACCCTTAAAACACAAACACACACGCAGACACACACACGCACAACAACTAAACACACTTGAACATATAAATACTAAGCGCATATGCATGCCAGAGTCAGTCGAAATCGAACTGGCAGGGAGTTTAAGAAGCCGCATTTAGTTTGAAACCGTTTTCTATTTACCGACAGAGGGCGTTAGTGCATCGTTTTTGAAAACAACAACAACAACAACAGGGTGATCCACTCACACATGCACACACACACACACACACACACAGCAATAGTTAAAACTCAAAAAGTATTGAAAAACACGAGTTAGAAAATATCCATATAGTTATAGTTATATAGCTTACACAAACACCCCCACACCCAAACACACACACACACACACACACACACAGATATAGATATATATAACAAGTGCAGTGCAGCCAAACTCTATGAGAAGCGGAGATAGCGGCTCGCACTGCTTGGCAGGCAGTGTAGTTTTTACGTAATATACCCAACCCAGTTTGTTCTGTGATGTGCAACGATCAAACCATGTTTGGCGTTGCAAAATTTTATCGTTTTAATTACCTTTCCCCTTTGTCAACATAACGTTAATACTATAATACATACATACATACATATACACGTATAGCACATACGAGTACATAGTTCTAGATCAGTTATAGAAGGAACAGCTCGAATGTTCAATTCGTGTGTCAAATTCAACAAATCGAGCACAAAACACCCGAAACACATTTCAGCTTGTAATGCGTTTAAGTGGAGCAGTTTGCGTAATTACTTGCAACAATGATTTACATTTAAATATTAACGATTTCGTTGCTGGCCACCTGACGACCTGTCCCACACCCTTACACCCCCACACCCCTACACCCGTACACCCTACCCCCCCCACCACTTCCCAGCGCACGGTATTGCAAAAAGCGCGACACGCATGTGCCAGTCTGTCAACGTTCTCTGGAGTCTGAATTACATTTTATTTTTAAGTACGTTGGCAGAGCTGCGTGTGCGTGACGTGAACGAGCATGCGTGCGTGAGATCGCGCTACACTTTTGTTGGTATTTTTAGTGCTAGTTATTAACATTACACTTAGGTTCGTTCTCGTTTTAATCTCTATTTTTATCGATTAGTTCGTAATTCGTATTTTGTAATTTGTAATTTGCTGTAAAGAAATCAAACTCAGGAACTCATATACCTCAGAAGAAACTACCCTACCTCTTTGTTTTCTATCGCTTTTGTTTGCTTTAGCAACAACAAGCAAAACACTAAGTTGTGGTAATAATACTATATTAAAGATGCTATACCCTTAGTTATTAGTTGTTTTTTCGGTTAGTTATACTTATCGATCTACGTATGTATGTACTACTAGGCGCAGTGGATTACGCATATCCGCGGCATTCATTTAAACGCAAAAGACAAGCGAACACACAATAGCAATAATTAAAATAATAGTAATGTGAATCAAAATAGTAACAAGATATCGAACTGCAATAGTAAACCGAACTACCTCAAAGGGCCATAGACTGCGCAGATCAGCAATTAATGAACGAATGAATGTTAATCCAAATAAAATGGTGACCCCGAGCACAGACAAGTGTTTTTTTGTTCATTTCCAGCTACAATTTCTCGTAAATATATGAATAAAGAAAGTAAATCAAACACAACACACACATACACACACACACTCGTACACATACACACACGCACACACACTTTGGCTAGAGATTTTTTTGAAAAAGGCAGAAAATTTGGTTGTAAAGATTTCGAAATTGTATGTAAAGGATAAATAATAAAGTTGTAGCAGTGCATAAACAGATTTTTAGATAGGTTTTTTGTAAATATGCGCTAAATTCAAGTCCCAAGTAATACCAGAAACTAAACACACTTAACACTCTTACACACACACACACACACACACACAAATATACACACATAAGAACACACAAGAACATTTAATGTAAATTCTTTGGCTAAATCTAAATTTAAATTAGAAATTCAACTCGTATTACGCGTATGAGCTAAATGTAGAAGAAGCTGCAAAGGCAGGCAAGTGTTGTATACAAATATTTCGGCAAAGCAACTAAACGAGGCAAATATATTGTATTAGAGGACCCTAATGTTAGACTAAACACTACACTAAAATGCAAAGAAATTATTTAAGGCTACAAAAATTAAACAAAACCGAGTACGAGCAAATTATAAAAAAAAGAGAGAGAGTAACAAACAAATGGTATACTTTTCGAAGAGCTACGCAACGCTGTTTCAACATTTCGTTGACAGAAATTCAGAGTAGACCCGAATGGGTAAAAAAAACGAGAAAACAACACACATTGCTTACAAGAATAAATATGGAAATCGGAAATATGCGAAGGAAAACATTTTCTAAAAGAAACTTGCTTAAATGAAGCATAGCGTGTAAAACCAATTTAGGCTTAACTTTCGGCTAAAAACAAAATCTAATTTTTATGTAATACTTAAATTAGACACAAAAACAAAAAACAAAAACAAAAATCGCATTAAAACTTATATTAACAAAAAGAAAAAAAGAAAACGAAACGAAACAAAAAAAAAACTACCAACTATGCATAAATATTTATTTGATTGAGCAAACAAAAGCTAATGTACTATATAACAATGACGTTTTAGGCCAACTTTTCGACAAGCGGCGTAAAATAATTTCTTTGTAAAATATATTTGCAACCTCTACAAAAAAACAAACAAAAACAAAAACAAAAAAATAAAAAACCATGTGGAAAATTGAAAGAAAAACAAATGAAAACTATGCTTAATCTAAATCTAAATTAAACACCACACATATGTCGCCATTTTGCATTTAGAGCGTGCAGAGTAAGCCGTAAACAGCTTTGGATGAAATGTTTAAACATTTTCCAAGGTCTGCCGAACACAGCACAGCACAGCACAACATTAGATTATTGTACATAGGGATGGATGAGACGGATGTGTATGTGTATGTAGTATATGCCTAACTACTTGTAATTGTGTTTTGCAACTAGCCCCGCCCTCCGGTCCGGAGCTGTACATTTTTGTTTATTCAATATTAAGCTCGGATTTAATTTCTGTTGTAAAAATTACGGACTAAGCAGCAAACAATATTATTTAAGCCCAAACAAAACGAAGCGAAAAAAATTGAATAACAATAAAATGAAATTAAAATATAATAATAATAATAATAGTAATAATAATAATCGCACGGGTACAAAACACTAAGCTAAAGCAAGAGCTAAAGGACGTAAAATGTAATTGTAGCGCATACGACGAGCAATGGAGTACGTTTTAAATGCCCTATGTATGTAATTTTTGTTAAATATTTTTGTTAGTAATTGTTTTTATTAATGTTTAGTTTAATAATGCAAGTGATGCAAACGAGAATGCAAACCACACAAGCCAATTGTACTTATAATCTTATTTACCATCGGACCCCAAACACCTCCTAAGTTTGTTGCAAACCTCACCAAAATTATAG